CAAGATTCCTGAAGTCTAGCACCAGCGCCATGTCCCCCAAGTTTCTACCAGATGTGACAAACAATCGGTCAGTCTGGGGGACTGGGAGTGGAGATTGGGGGCAGGTGCTTTAGATGGAAGACGGGTTTCTTGTTTTCTTCAGCGACTTTATTAATAAGCCTCTCTCCAGAAGAGTGTAGGCAAGGCAGTGTCCTCCAGACACTAGTGTGTGTCCCAGAGCCCTTGGTAGGGAGCACTGGGCCGAGGACAGCATGCGGCAGGACGTAGGGTCTGAGAAAGCAAAATGAGCTTCCCTCTGAATTTGGGGTCACAGTATCCCACCCTGGCTGAGGTGGAACTGAGCAGGAGAATCTGACTTGCTGGTTCTTCCATGCCACCTCCCAGTGACAAATCACAGCTTGTGCCCAGGAGATGGTCCCTTTAGTTCTCCAAGACCTTCAATATGGCAGTCCCAGGTCCATCAGTAGGGGGACCAGATAATGTATTGACCGGAGTGAAAGGTAGCATTATTAATAATTACACTGGGACAATAGGTGTCACCTATGGTGACCCTAGTCATCAGCCACTTTATCTGGGCCCCACACGGAGCTGTTGAGCAGATCTCAAACCCTGCAAGATCCTGTGGCTACAGAGGGGTGGGTGCCGCCAGCCCAGCCCCCGCCCCAGTACGATCGGTATTACATTGGGCCCATGTCCATGCAACAGCCTTCAGAGCAGAGTCCAGGGCGTCACGGCCAAGGGTGTCACTGCATCCAGATCTTCTGGAGCAATGCGTGGTGCTGTTTGGGCTTTGACCCCATGCCCTCTGGGGTAACCTGGCCCTGGCAGAAGCCCTGGGTAAGTAGGAATAAGCCCCAACTCACAGGGATTTGTTGACTTGGACAGTCAACATTGGGAGGAAAGGGAACCAAACACTATTTAGTTATTTTCATTCCCATGGTGCCGTGTAGCTGCTGAGCAATTGGCTCTGTACAGCCCACATGGGAAGTACTAAGGTCCCCTGGATTTCCTCCGAGCCTCTCAGGGCCAGCATCCAAGAAGGGTGGTTGCAAAATGTGCTGGGAGCCCGGTGGCAGGTGGTAGGGGCAGCTCATCTTGAGTCTGATGGAGCCCATTGACCAGACCAAGCTGGAGCCTGACTGCTCAGGCCCACCCAAGGTTCATCTCCCCTTCTTACACTGCACAGTGACAGAACCTCCTCCCTAAACTCCAGAACCAGCTGCTTCCTCCCTGCCACAAGCTATTGATCAATGGAACATCAAAAAGAAAAATAGGGGTCGCCTTCCTCATCTGTTGACTCCAGCCAAGTCCGATTGCCAAAGTGCTTTGCCATCAAGATCGGGGAAACCAGAAAAGAAAGCAGCTTTGATGGTTCTGGACTTGCCTTCCATGTGCGGGACAGAGAAACTGGGATGGAAGTGGGTATGGGGGGGTTGTCAGGAGAGAACCCCTCTGGAGGTCACGTCTGTCTGAAAGTCCCCCCCCCACCCCTATTCTTTGTTCCATGAATCTGATACTGAAAAAGGCAGATGGATATTGCACCCATTCCACAGATGAGGTAGTGGAGGCTGGTAGAAGTCGAACTCAAGTTCCAGTTCAAGCTGGAATTTTGCTCCTTTTGGTTAGTCTTGCCAACCAAAAGTGCCTTTCCCATTTAGTAACTCTGGGAGCTTTAAGAAAAGAAACTCCACTGAATTCTGAGAGGCCTCCTTGATGTTTTCCAGCTGAGGTTACCTTTTCTCAGTGGAAAGAAGTACTGTGTATAATCCAAACCAGCGCATGATATCACACCACGTCGCCTTGGCTTTGAAAACCTTCTTCCTTTCCCAACCTCCTTCCTTCTTAGCAGATTTACCTTCCCCATTTTTTTCCCTTTTGGTGCAGACATTGTCTCCCCCCCCCCCCCCCCAGTTTATATGACTGATAATGGAGCTGGCGACAGCCAAAGTCCATGCCCACTGGCCACAGTTAGGGCCGGCCAGTCTGGGATTAGAAATGAATGGGGAGATTGGAATTAAAGAAAGCTATGAGAGTCTCCCAGTCTGGAACAAACTAGCTTCGACCACCGGAAAGACATGCCTTTGGTGGTCAAAGCCCTTCCTTTCAAATCTCATTATTTCATTGGATCTTTCCATTGATCTGATTGGTGGTCGATTACTCACAGTTTGCAAGTTACCATTCTAGAACCCGAACCCACTCTTCTGGGAGTTGCAGCTTACGTGTGGGTTGGGCTCCAAATTATGTGTGGTGTAAAGATTATATGTGTAGTCAAAATTACCCTTGCAGATCCCTTAAGCACCTTGAAAATCGGCCATAAAGTACAGAGTGCACAGTTTGTACTGCAATATATACAGGAGAAGCTCTCTTATCTGACCTCCACTTAACCAACCGGCCACATTAAATGATTCTCTATATTCCTTCTGCGAACGGTTAAACGCCCATAGTCCCTGAGTACTGAAGGCTCAGAGCCCGTACACTTCTGCTTCTGCCGAATCGAGTTGGATGTTTACAAAGAGTCCGTTATCACTGTTCCCAAACTTGTTTGTGCCAGCTGTACTTTTTATAGTAATCGCACAATTTAATTAAGTATGAAGTTGTACTTTTTATAGTAATTGCACAATTTAATTAAGTATGATGTAAGTGGCTAAGATAAGAATGCAAAAGAATGGTTACTTCTTTGAAAATTACATCGAATGCTTTAGAAAAGGAGTAAGTTGCAAAAATAAAAGAGCGCCTTGTATTAGTCATGGACAAGAACTGTAAACTATTAGGAAAAAAATAATAAAATCTGGGATTTTGCTCTTATAGCAGTCCATAATTTGTACTCTGGTAAATTTGTACTCTGGTAAATTGAGGTGCTCCGTATTCCTCTGTCTCAAATTTGGGGGGCAGCAGTCTGTCCTATGCCTTTTCTTCTCTGATGGAGCTGAGAAGAGTTACCATATTCCCCCATGTATAAGATGCACACTTCTTCGAAAAATTTGGGGTCTAAAAACTGGATGCGTCTTATACAGTGGTTGTAGATTTTTTTACTTGCATTTCCTGCTTTTTTGCGCTTGTTGTCTTTGCGCTCATTGTTTCAGATTTGTTACCGGTATATTACGGTAAGGTTACATTTTGCCACGTTCTGCCCAGAAATGGCTCAGAAAAGATTTTCGTATAGTGCTGAATACAAGTTAAAAGTGATCCAGTTTGCAAAAGTGAATGGAAATCGTGCTGCTGAACGTTGAGAAAACAATCCCAGACTACAAGAAGAAGAAACCCTCCTGGAAACGCCACAGCAGAAGGTGGCCATGAGAGGCAATATATGAAGACAGTGATTCGTCATCAGACACATATAAGGACAAGCTAACGGTTGGGAGCTTTGACAGTGACGAGGAGTTGTATGAATTTTATGATGAATAAAACTTGAGTTCAATAACTTTATGTAATACATTTTTTTTTCAAATTTCAGGCCCAAAATTAAGGTGCATCTTATACATGGGAGCGTATTATACATGGGGAAATACGGTAGTTGTTTTTTCAGCATCTTCAGCTTTTTACTTTCTCTTAAGGTGGACCGGCAACTTCCAAGCTCCTTGCATGCAGAACTGGAAACCGGCAGCCTTCAATTCCTAGTTTCTATACATATTTGCTATACTTTAAAGAGATCGAAACTGGAATTCGCTGATGATGCATTAGAGCTGTGGTTTATGTAAGACAACAGGGAACTCTATACAGGGAGCCCATTCTCAGAAAAAGAAAAATACTTTTTTCTTTTTTTTAATGGCCCAGCGGTTCTCAACCTGTGGGTTGCGACCCCTTTGGGGGTTGAATGACCCTCTCACAGGGGTCGCCTAAGACCATCGGAAAACAAAAAGATATTTACATTACGATTCGTAACAGTAGCAAAATTACAGTTATAGAGTAGCAACGAAAATAACTTTATGGTTGGGGGTCACCACAACATGAGGAACTAACTGTATTAAGGGGTTGTGGCATTAGGAAGGCTGAGAACCGCTGCGTATGGCCCAACATTAACAGGTTGGTGAGTGAATTTACATTAGTGAGTTGTAAGTAAAGATAGTGTATTGTGTGTGTGTGTATTTAAAACTCCCTGCTTTAATTATGTTTTGATTCTACAGAGCAGCCTGTGTGAATCAAGTCTGATGTACTTACATAGACAACGAAGCAAACCATGTGAATGCAGTACACTCGCTGAGCGGCATTCCATATACTATTGAACTCACCTTTCCTCCACTCTCATCTGATCCATCTAACTTAATTTATGCGAGCTAAATGTGGTAGTACGGGACACCACTGCACTCATAAATTCAGAGTCAAGCCTCAGCTCTAAACCTGGGTGGATTAACTAGGTTACAGCCACCAAATACCACCGTGGTTCTTACGGCATGAAGACCCCTAGGGCCTGGGGTGCTGGCTTTGTAGAAATGAAAATGAAAATGGGCAAGGAACCTGCCTTAACATATCAGAGAGGCAGCTCATATGTCCCGAGAGCTGGACGGCTTTAGTACAAATCCTGGCTTTTCGAATTCTCAGGGGCAAGCCATTTACGTTTTCCCTCATCCAGCGTCCCTCCTAGGGGGTTGTCACAAGGATTTTATGAGTTAATCCATGTAAAGTCATTAGAACACTGCCTGGCACAGGGCGAACGCCCTACAAGTGTTAGCAATTGCTGTTACTATTATTATTAATCATTACCATTTTGCCTCTAATGTGGCATAATCTGAGAGGCTCTTATCCTAAGAGTGTAAAATAAAGAAAATAGTCCATTTTACTTAAACGTACAGATGTCCACTTACCTAGGCATTAAGAAATCAAATAAGTTGGACTCTTGACTCTTGTCTGCAAAAGCACAGAACGGCTAAAAATGGGTGTTTAGGGAGCAGGTTGCTTGAGGATGATATGGGGGTGGAGGGGGTCCTCATTTACCTTCCAGGGAGAATAAATGTTGCTTCAGAACTCCAAAAAAAAAAAGTTTATTTATAAAATACTGACAAGTTTGACAGGACATGGGACTTCTCGTGGTATATATTTCAAATCAGATTCTTCCTTACCTTTCATTTAAAAAATAAACCTGCTAACAAGCTATATGACATATAGATATATATATATATTTTCTTACAGATAGACACCTGCCATAATGAATACTCTCCCCATAATTTTTCATTATATCTTTTAAATCAAAAAATAAAGATTTGTGTTGGTTTTTGTTTTTGGAGTCCATGAGTAAAGAAAGGTAACGCATTTAAATGCTTTTGGTTATTCTTACAGAAACAAATGGAAGGGGGGGGGTCCCAAGAGGGCACCTGTGCTCAGGGCGGTGGTCAGGGGTGCACTGGGCAGGACCACACAGAGGCACTCAGGAGCCAGCGGCTGCTGCTCAGATGGCATCACCTCCCCGCTCCTGGCCTCCAGCCCCTCCCCCAGTGCGGGCACCATGGGAAGGTGAGGGAATGCCCAGGGTGGGCTATGTGGCGGCTCTGGCACCTTTAAAAGCATGGCCCAGGGAGGTGTGGCCAGAGACAGAAGACCTTGAGGCAGTGTGTGCTGTCTCCTCTGGATCACGGCAGTGTCAGGTGAGGGACAGAAGGACAGGCAGCCTGGGTTTGCAAACTCCCTGGAGCCCTGAGAGGGAGGTGCTTCTGGAACTCAGAGCAGCTTTTTGGTTCATCTTGCAGTCTGGGTTCGGAGCTAATGGGAACCTGGAGGCATGGCTAGGATGGGGAAGAGGAACCCTGATGTGCCAAGTGTGAGCTGCTGGGTGCAACAACAGGAGATTTCCCAAGGCCAGAGCCAGGCAAAGCCAGAGGTGCCAGGTGGCCAGTGTCCTGCTGTGAACCTGCTTCGGATGGAGTCCCATGGACAGGGGTCTTGGCATCACTGGCCCAGGAAACCTCCCTGTTACCCATGGGCAGTGCCCACCACACCATCCCCATGCAGCCAGGTGTCTGGATGGGGGTTGGGAGCCTCCACTGCCCCAGCAGATATGTAAACAAAGGCAAAAAGATGTCCTCCCAGAAACCTAGAGTTCCCCAGCTGGAGACCTTGTCTTCCAGGTGTGGCTGGGGCAGTGGAGGCAACATTTCAGATGGGAGGGTAGGGACTAAGGGTGGACTTTCGCCTCGGGCCCAGCCTGCCTTCCTGGGCTCGTCTAAGAGTTCCCTGGTTTGCACAGTGTCCTTGTCCTCTCAGACAGCAGATCCCAGCTGTGGCCCAAGTGGGACTGACTCAGGCTGCCAGTGCCTCACAGAGACAACTTACGCCATCAGAGGGAGTTGCAAGAGCCTCTTCGCTGACACACACGCAATTTGTGTTCTGTGCATATGTATGTGTGTATGTGCGTGAGCCCAGGGTGCCTTTCCGCCTGTACGTGTGTCAGCACGGGTGTGAATGAGGACGTGGGGAGGGGGGGTGAGGGCGAACATTAGCGCACCAGGCAAAGGAAATGTGGCCTCATATGCAACACACATGTGCGCACGCACGCGCCCCCCCCCCACACACACGTTTTTACTCATCCCTGCCTCCCCCCAAAAACTGCCTCAGTGGGCTGGGCTGGAATAATTCCCTAATGCAAACTGGGAACTTCCTTAAATGGTTAAACACACAGCAGATAGGGAAGAGGACCACGCTGTTAAAAAAAAGAGAGAGAGAGAAAGAGAAGATGAAAGAGAAAGCAGCTACGTGATCAGTCGCAGGCAGTTGCAGATGTGCTGTATGGAGATGCCAGATGTGTATGGAAGAGACTCTCAGGCCCGTGTCCCCCTTTGGGGGAACGACTATGCTTCCCTTCCAAGACCGCCTTTGTGGAGACGCTCTGGGCCCCGGAGCCGGGTCAGACTGCTGAGCTGTCTTCCAACTGCCCCTGTACACGGTTCCCAGGGGTCCCGGTGCTTGGGGAGGAGCCCATGGCTGGGTCTGCCCTTTCCTCAGGCCCTCTCTTCCCTTGGCTTGCTCCCCAAATCCTCCACTCTTAGGCCTCTCCCCTAACTGTTCTCCCCACTCTCCAAAATAGGGCACTGCTTCTCCCACTTCTGCCCCCGGGCAGGGCCAGCAGTACCCGTGCTGGGCTCCCCATTGAGCCCTGCCCATTAACGTGCTGGCTGGGTCATCTCTCCAGAAGCTGTGTCCATCCCCAACTGTGGGGGTGCCCAGGGAATTAGATAGAAAGTCTCCCCCTAACCCCTGAATCTGGAAGTCGAGCTAATAGGAAGATGCAGGCCACCAGAGTAGCTTTTTAAACATTCCTTGCAGCAGATTGTGTGTGTGTGAAAGCTTTGCCTCCCATCAGCTATTCCTGTCCCTCGGTCCCATCTGACCGGCTCCTCCCGGCCGGCCTGGCTGTGCATCTCAGGACCTGTGTCCAGTTTGGGCCGGCCCCTCCTCACTCCAGGCACTGGCTAGGCTGAGCCAAGCCTAGAAGACATCACTGGGGGTGGGGATGGTCTTTGACTCTTTGTAAACCTTGTGCTGAGTGGATTGAGCAAACTATGGCGGCTCTGGTCCCTGGACCAGGGACTTGGCCACCCCTCTGGGCTTCTGAGTCCCCGTGCTTAGGAGGAGGGGTGTTTCAGACACAGAGAACTGTGGATCGAGAGTGAAAGGAGCACGGATCTGAGAGTGAGTTCCTGTTTGGCTAGAAGAACCCAAAGGAATTTCTATTGGGGAGGATCCCCCCTCTTTCCCTTGCAAGTGCGTGTGAGAGAGAGAGAGAGAGAGAAAGAGAAGAGAGAAGAGAGAAGAGAGAAGAGAGAAGAGAAGAGAGAGGGAGAGTGGTGTGTCTGATATGGCCATCCCTCTTCCCCGCCTAGCTCACCAGCCCCAGGCAAACTTAATTTCCTTGTCCAAGTAGTTCCCTTTTCTCTCTTCCTTTAAGGAAGGGACGGCTGGTACCTGAATTGGAAAAAAAAACAAGTCACCTTCTTACATTCCTGACTTCCTGCGTTACATCCAATTATCCCAGTGATGTGTGGCCCGTGCCCCTACTCTGTCCCCAAAGTTCTTCTCTCCTCATCTGTGCTCAGAAAGTGACTTCAAGGAAAGGGACAGCTAGGCTCAGTGGCGGGGGTGGCGGGGGAGGGGGGGAGACTCTCGCGCAAGCCTAGGGGCCCTCGTCCTTGGATTCACAAGAAAAAAGCATTATATGTTAGGAACAAGGAGCTAGCTAGGCAAATTCCCATCCTTCAAATGTTTTCCGCTTTGTAAATAAACCAAATGCTTGCAGGGGAAGTTGAGCAAGAAAGGGGGGGCAGTGCAGGGTGAGGAGCAGGGCAGGGGGCCGCAGGGTCATCTGTCCCTGACAGGGACATACGTGGCACTGGTCGGGTGAAGGGAGAGGAGGTGAGTTTCACCCGCAGGGGTGCCCATCCTGGCATAGCATCCCCCCGACAGCGGGCCCAGGGCTCTGGCATATGCCAGAAGGGGGCAGCCAGCTGGATTTCCAGAAGCTTCTTCTCCCTTCAGCCACGCCTGCCTCGCAGCCCTCCAGCCCTTTGCCTTTTCTCTTCCTCTCCTGACCCACTCGTGCCCACCGTGCCCACCGCAGCCCCACCCCCAGCTCCTCCCCTTCCCCCGAGGGCGCAGCAAGCCCTACAGTCTGAAGCTGACCAATCGCTGGCCACACACGTCCTCTGGTGGTTTCCTTCTCCTTCCTTCTCACACCAGCTTTGCTGGCTCTGGAATCTGGAAAAATAAACTCAGGAGGTGAACAGTTGACTTGGTTTCTTGGTGTTTTTGTTTTCTGGCAGGCGGTGCTGCGGGGAGAGGTGGAGGGGGAGTTTGGTGCCATTTTTCTTCTCTTTTTTTTCCTCTTCAGACATCAAACAAATGATGAAAATCCTGCTATGGGAGCCCGGGAGCCAGGGGCAAGGCTGCTGGGGGGGCGGTAGAGGGTGCTCTGCTGACTCGGGGGGTTCGGGGGGTTTTGGGGCGTTGGGGTCCTGCTGGCCTTGGGCCGAAAGAGGCTGCCCTGCTGGGCGCTGCTGCTGTTGGCGACGGTGGTGTGGTCCGGCTCCCCAGAGTCGCTCTCCGTGTAGCTGTACGCCTGGGCCCTCGAGATGCCCTTTTGCTGCCTCCGCCATGAGTTGTAATACGTGGGGTCGCTGATGTAGTGGTTGACAAAAGAGTGGGCCTTCTGGTGGTTCGGGTCAACCTCGTACTCGCTGTCGCTTCCCTGGGAGGACAGAGGTGTGTCAGTGGCCTGGTGGGGACAGGACCGCGGGATCAGGGCTGCGAGGTACACAGTGCTCTGGATCGAAAGTCCATCCGGCCTCTTCCAAGCCCTGGATGGGGTGCCCCTCAGCCCTCCGCACTGCGGGAGGGTACAGTGCCCTCTCATGCCTGCCTTTTGCTTCCTTTATAGCGGATCATGGCACGGAACCATGGATCTTTGACGTAACTCCAAAGATCTCATTTCTAACCTTTTTGTTTTTTGAAAATTGAGGTGAAATTCACATTACTGAAAGGTAACCGTTTTAAAGTGTACGGCTCAGAGGCATTTAGCACACTCACCATGTTGTGCGGCCTCCGCCGCTGTCTGGTCCCAAACATTTTCACCCCGAAGTAAAACTCGGCGCCCATCAAGCAGTCACTTCTCATTCCTTCCCCCCCAGCCGCCTCCTCCCCTTCTCCCCACCGCTGGCAACCACCCATTCACTTCCCGTTTCTACGGTTCTACCCATTTTGGCTATTTCATACAAATGGAATCATCCACTATGTGACTTCTGTGTCTGGTTTCTTTCACTTGGCAGGATGTTTTCGGGCTCGAATTCATCATGCCTTTTAATTTTGGGTATTTCTGATGCTTTGACATCTGGGGCCTTGCTGACCCTGGAGGGACTGCCCTTCCCAGGGCTGGTCAATTCTTAGAGACAGTGAGCAGCCTTTCACAGCCAGAGCTCACACCCCCACGGCCTCCTCTAACGGGCTTTCACACACTGGCCCCCTAATCCCCTGTCCCTAATCACCCAGGGCCAGGTACCAGACAACAGGGGACAGCCCCAGCTACCCAGAGCCCCTGAATTTATTCAAACCAGCCCAAGCCTGCTTCCCCTGCACTGACTTTATTGTGGGAGCGACACTAAAGGCTCCTGCAAGCCCAGGTCTCCTTCCTGCCCCCTCTGCCTCCTGACTCACTGCTGCTTCCCAGTGTGGCCCTGCATGGCCTGCTGTGTCCCCTCTCTTTGGGAACTGTGAGTAACAAACGATCTTTTCAGTAGCCGTCGCCTCCTGTTGGCCTCACCATACCTGAATAATAACAACCCCTACATTTCAAAACAGGGGTTCACAGACATCTACTGAGTTCCTGTCTTGGTGCAGCCGCCGACTTTACTGCATGACTGGGGACAGAGCCAGGCCCAGATTAGAAGCCCTCTGGGGGCTCCTGGCCCTTCACAAACGCCAGTGCTCACCCATGTGTGACCCAAAATGAAAGCCACAGTGATACAATAAGCAGGAGACAAATACCAACAGAGGTTCTGAATTTTCACACGACGACCATCCTGAAGCTTTTAAAAAGAAACAGAACATATTATTCTTAAAATGGTCGGTACTTTGGTGTCCTTGGCACGCACTTCGTCTGCCTATTGGGGAAATCAGCACTAGACAAGAGTCAATCTGGGTTGTAAAATAAAATAACGTTGCGATCTGAACCGTGGAGCTAAAAATATTGTGCGCCCCCCCTCCCCCAGCCCAGGCTCCCAGCAATGTTTTGAGAACTAAGAAGACAGCAGATGGGAACGCCCTTAGAACTCTCTGGAAGAGAGGCACTTCGATTTTAGTGAACAGTACGCTCACAACAAAATACGACTCAGAAGATGGGGTTCAAGTCGCCTCATCTCTGTCCAGCTGATACATGCTTGGAGGCAGTGAGTTAATTCCATCAACCTAAGTAAAACACACTTTGGAAAAACCCAGCAGCAAGGAAACCCAGTGAGCCCAACACCAGTGTGTCTGGGACGATCAGCTGCTTTACAGGTAAACAAGCTGGAGAGCTGACCTTGTCCAAAAGGTGTGAGCTACGAGGCTATGAAACGTATACGTCTCAGAAACTCAAAGTCTTTTATGGCGGCCAGACCCTCAAGAGAAACAGCTACGATGTACATACAGGACTGTAATGATAGCAACTACAGAAACGCTCATCGCGTGACCGTGTTCGATTTTCACACCTCTAGTAGCTGTAGCTACTGTTGCTGCGTGCCTTTCTGCCCAAGGAAATGAATGATCAGCTGGGTTTGAACGGATCTGCCTGATTTTTCCAAAGCCCACACATGCTCTTAACTCCTACACTCCTGCCTAGAGGTCGCAAGGTGGGAATGACAGGCCCTCTCCCCTCCAGTGGGGACAAATACTCCCTAGTCTATCTGCTAATTTATGTCCCCTCCCCCCCCTCCACAGTATCTGCTGCCACCCTCTTCACCACCACCCCCAGCAGATACACCCAGGACCTCAGTATTCTCGCCACTGCCCAAGACAACGGGCAGTCCCTCGCATGTTCTCCCCAGGAAGCAGTGCAACACAATGCAAGCGCCTTTCTTTGCCTACTGCCCAGCTGCCAGCCCAGGAGGGAACAAAGGCTGAACAGGCTGGAGGGCTCCATATGCCAAGAGCAGGGAGGGGGTGGGGAGAGGCTGGCCCAGAGGCGGGAGAAATCGGAGTGGGCTGTGGTGATGCCGGGAGGCAGGAGGCTGGAGGTCCCTCGGGTTCAGGGGCAGCGAGGGTCTGGAGGAGCGGGGGAAGAGAGGGGTGCCCCCCAGTTTTCCCTACAGGTTAGGTCTCTCGATGGCTGGAATAGTTGCTGAGCATCACTGCTAGCAGTTCTGGAACTTGAGCCAGCCCCAAGCCCCAGCCTTCCCAGTGACTGAGGGTCTGGGGTAGGAGGTGACTGTGGTCTGGTGACAATCTGACTCTCCCTCACAGGCCAGGTAAGTTTTGCCCCAGAATCCTTGTCTGTAAGACGGGTAGGTCCCTGCAGCTCGCAGGGTGAAATGAGCTACGCGGGAGAGAATGCCGTGAAAGACATTTGTTGGGGAGAGTGAGGGTGAGCCTGGGTGGAAGGGGGCCTCAAAGCTCCCCAGGAAGAATCAGAAGGGGCCAGGGGGCTGGGGGAAGCTGACTCAGGGCTCAGGCAGCTCCTGCCACCCCCTCATTTCCCTCCCAGAGTGGGGGTGGGGAAGGGGCCTCCCGGGCCCTCCTGGGGGGCCCAGATCCCAAAGCCCATTCACCTAATTATCTCAGTTCCACCAGTTACCATCTGTGGAGCACCCACTGTGTGCCAGACACTCTGTGGGGCAGCCTTCCTCATGGGGGTGAGAAAGGGAGGAGAGGAGCTGGCAGCCAAATGAAGACAGCCTGTGGGCGGGGCAGCGGGTTAGCGTTTGGTCTGCCCCCTCGCCCCCAGCTCTCCAAAGCCAAAGGAGGGGGGTCTTTGCATCCGCGACTGCTCTCCCGCCTCCATCGCCCGTGAACATCTGTTTCTTTTCTGGGTGGGGGTGGGGCGAGGAGAGAAGAAAGCAAGCAAGGGGGGACCAGGGGCTCCCATTCCGGCTTTCAACCCTCACTGGGCCCTCGGTAATTGAATGCAGCTTCCCAGTCACCGGCCCAGCACAAAGGGGGCCTTTCATGGGCAGTCCCGCCAGGCTGCCAGGCAATCAGGCGACTGCTTCGGCTCCTGGGCCTCTTAACAGCTCCTCAAAGCCACTCAATCAGCAATTACCGGAGTCTGGGGAGGGGGCGCGCACACTGCCAGGCCTGGTGATGGGAGCTGGGAGGACCCCGAGAAAAGACAGGAACAAAAGGGAGGGAGCAAAGCTTTTCTGCTCCTTTCTCGAGGCAGGAATTCTTGCACCGGACTCGGCAGGCGATGGGGAGGGTGCCACACAGGCTTGGGGACTGATATTGAGACCCTCAGGCCAGGCAGGATACCCTCCTTTTGCCGATTCTCACAAATCAGGAATGTGTTGTCTCAGGTGACAGGTCACCCCGTGCAGCTCCTTTATTAACGGGAAGATGGAACCTGCCCTCCGCTGTGGTCCCAGGCACTTCCTGCACCCAGGCCAGCCTGAAATCCGGCATGAGTCTGTCCCCTGGATGCCCTTACCCTCGAGGGAGCTGGCGCCCGTCCTGCAGGGGTGGCTGCCTCCTGGAGATTAGAGGTGGGGTGGGGGGATATGCTAAGTGTCTCCCTCACTGGACACCCCCTTGAGGCACAATTGTATCAGGGCTCTGGGCTCTTTGGGCTAAAATAGTTGGGAATTTGCGAATGTGCTTTCAAAAAGTTCAGCTCAGATGCAAGGTCACATATGCTACAAGTCAAGTGACAGTCACTGTGTGCCCTCAGCCATCAGAAATGCCTGTGGTCAGGGGCCTCCCGAGGTCACTGGGGTGTGGTTGGGGTCAGGGTCAGGGCAGGCCTCCCTCCTTGAATCTCCCCTCTGTGCTGGGATGCTGGGTGAGGCCAGGCTGCAGCAGACATGCCCTCAGGGCCAGCAGGACCTGGATTTGAATCCCTACTGCCTGCACTTCTGAGCTCTGTGATCGAGGGGATGTTGCTTGACTTCTCTGAGCCTCAGTTTCTCCGCCTGTTCAGTGGGGATCCTCTCACTTGCACAGAGGGGTGTTAGATGTTAAATGAGAATGTATAAAGCGCAGGCCGTGGCACACAGCAGGTGCCCAATGCGTAGCTTCTCCTCCTCCTCCTCAGGTGCTGTGCTGCCTGTGGTGTGTTTCTAGTTTGGCACAAGCTTGGACTTCCCAGGCCTGCGTGGCTCAGGCTAAAGAGAAGCAGGAGATGGGCCTCCCTGAACCTATTAGACTTGTGGGCCAACCGCAAGGGCACAAGGCAAACAGTGATAAGAGATGGGAGACCCAGCAGAGGGAAGGCGATGACAGACCACCACCACCATGCCAGCCAAACTGCTCCCTTCTCTGTTTACACGTCCTTCCGGGCCCAGATGAAATGCCACCTCCTCCAGGCAACCCTCCGTGATTGTCCAGGAAGATATGATCTCCCCGCCTGGATTTCTCACAGTGCTTTATCTGCCCCTGTACCACAGGAAACAGGAAGCCTTTTGTTCACCACTTTCCTCCTGAAGTTAGTTACCCTGGTGATAAAACTTTAACGAGAAGTGAAAACGTGATTATTTACACAGGCCATCCTCCCGAATAGATCGTCAC